ACGCCGGCGTAGATGGCATACAAGAACGGCGCTTCGACGCTCCCTTGACGCACAGATCGTTTGATCGGGAATGGAAGCGAGATGGTGCAGTTGTACACAACGCGGGATTGGCAGCCAGTGTTGAGCAGTTCCATCCAACTGATGAAACTCTCACCGACGCCGTACTTGCGGAGTGCTTGGAATAAGAATTGGTGATCGACTCTGTCGAATGCCTTCTCCGAGTCCAGCAGGACAGCAACACCCGGAATGTTGCACACGCGGCACAAATCGAGCAAGTCGCGCATGAGATGGATGTTGGCATCGATGGTACGACCAGGAACAAATCCGTTCTGGTTGAGGTTGACAATCTCAGGGGCAATCAGGGCAAAGCGCGCCATCAAGGCTCTGGAAAGAATCTTCGAGTCCACGTTGAGACAGGTGATTGGTCGGTAGTTGCCCGGGTCTGAGCGGGCGCCTTTCTTGTACATGACCTTCAGGTACCCTTCAAGCATGGAGTCAGGGAGGCGTTTGTTCCGGTACGCCGCGTTGGCTACGTGGGACAACGCATAGCAGAGGCGTGCCTGGAATGTGCGATAGAAGGCACCTGTCAGGCCGTCAGGACCGGGGCTCTTGTCAGGCGCAGTGTTCTCGATAGCGACAGCAATCTCGTACGGGTTGAGATCCGCGCCCAGTGACTTCTGTTCTGCTCGGGACAGCTTTCGCGCCGGATTTGCTTGCGCAAGGACCTCGCTCAGGGCTGCCTCGTCGATTGGTTCAGAGTCGTAGAGTTTGGAGTAAAAGTCGTGCAGCACGGATGCTATGTCGTTCGGAGTAGTAAAGTCCTCGCCGTTCACCGTGAGTTTGGCAATGGTTTGGGCTTTGATGCACTCACGCTCAAGGCTAAAGAACACCTTGGTGCAGCGTTCGGTGAGGGCACACGAGAGGTGGTGCGACCTCAACCTGGCGCCTTCAGCCTTGGTACGAGCGATTTCTTGGAGCTCGGCTACAGCGCCAGAGCGAGCGTCCTGGAGTCGTTTGAGCTGGTCTGCCGTAAGCAGGGGATCCTGCAACAGGCATTCGACATGGGTGATGAGATGATGACAAGCTTCCTCGTCAATGCGGTTGCATTTGGCCACGTAGGCGCCAAGGGACGACGCGTAGCGGACAACTCTGGATTTGAAAATGTCCCAGGCCAGGGGGGCGTGATCTTTCGACAGCCGGATGGACTCGTTCAGCTGATCAATGCACGTGTGGACAAAGTCCAACAGACGCTGGTCCGTCAGGAGCCGGGAGTTCAGTCTGAATGGCGGAGGGGGACGGCGTTGGTGGTCAACGTGGTGGAAAGCCGCAATGAGAGCTCGGTGGTCGGACCTCGTTTCCGTAGCCTCGAAGGAGACGGGGGTAAAGGGAAATGCATCGTTGGTGAAGATGTAATCAATGCGTCTGCTGGAACCAGGGGAGTTGCCTGTTGGGGACCAGGTGTACAGATGCTTGTTGCCGTGGCACTCCGTCCACGACTCGGACAGGTTGAGCCGGGAGGTCAGGTTGACAAAGAACCTCTGCGCAAGATCCAATGGCGGGGGATGAGTAGAGGAGCACAAGTAGTTGCGTTGATTGCTCAAGCAGAGGTTGAAGTCGCCGCCGACAATCATCGGAAGGGCGGGTTGCGCTTCTCCGTCGACGATCGGATGCAGGTGCGTGGTGATGATGGTTTCCACTTCTTCGAGGAACCTGATGCGCAGGGACGCGTCGCCGCTGGCCGGAGCGTACACGTTCACGAGGAGGGTGGTGATACCATGGATGGATGCTGAGGCGACATCAGGCGACCGGGG